TTTTAATATTAGTCCAATAAAAAGTTAGTTTAGGGTACCTTCAGGATCAGGCCATAGTTCACCATACTGGCTAAATCTGCAAGTTTTTATTGTTTGTCTTATCCAAGAATGCGGTGTAATAAATTTGTTCAAATAACAAGTAGTATAACTTTAAGAGCCCTCACGCACTAGGCAGCCACGGCTGCCCGACTGCGGCAGCCATCAGAACGCCTGATTGCACGGCAGCCCATTGGCTGCGCGCAGCCAGAGCGAGTGTAGGTGAATGTATGTGGCTGTCGTTAGTCTCCGCGCACTTAGCTGTAGCAGCCAGATGTATCACTATATATAAGGAGTAAATAATATGAAAAATAAACACTATTTTTACCCGCCTGCGCCAGAAGAAGGGTTTATGTTTTTGAGTGTATGCATATGCATAATATGTATGTATGTATGTATATTTCTTGAGCACGCTCTGGAGCCTAAACGGCTTGATGGATTAAAATCCCTCAAGCTAAAGCTTGAGAGGTGCCGTTAGATTCGTCTTAATTGTGAGAGTGACACTTTGTATATCAAAATTAAAATGGCCGATATTTGACACCATAGTATGTCTCCAAAATTTTTTTATCAAAACCTACCGAGGGGTATCAAAATAAAGGGTTTTATAAAAGGCTTACAAAATATATACAACTTAATAATTAGATCCTCCACGTCCATATCGCTTGACGGAATGGCCCCAACTGGCCGTCGCCATGGCTGCTATAACTGGCTGCTCAATTTTTTGGCTGCCGCAGTCTGGCTGCCGCAGCCAGGCTGCCTGATAAGCAAAAAAAATAATAAGTATGTAAGTAAAAAGCTGCCTCTAAGTAATAATACATTTTATTTTACATCATTACAATTACATTGTCCAGTGACCGACTTCATGGATAGCGCACTAGGTGTGTGCCATGTCTGCCTTATAAGAAAAAAGTATACACTTATAGTATAACAATGGTTAGGTTTCCGTAATCAAAATGAAAACGCGAAACCTTCATCATTTGTGTGTGACAGTTCCTATGTCATGTCATAGCCATTTTGCTCCATACATGTGTCAGAAGTCTGAAGGACAAAAAAAAATTGAATGCACACAAGCTTGTGTCTCTAGAACTAGATAGATCTTTACAATTTTGATACATGTTTCTAGATGTCTCTTATACTTAAGCCAATAGTCACGAAATGCTAAAATAATAATATTGTTTCCCAATATACTTTTAAAGAAGGTATGGGGTGGAAATTAATGAAGGGTTTTCCAGGAAGACAAATATTTGGCAATTAACAATTATATTTCTCGCTTTTTCTGTATACTCATTTTACATTCATATTTTATATCCCTAACTCATATAATGCGAATCACCGACTGTTCACTTGACATATCAAAAATCTATTGTCAAAATCTACAAACTGGCACATAAAATAACTGAATGTTACACTTGCAAGTTAGCCATTGTTACCTATATAAAAACCTGTGCATATCAACGACGCTAGCTTACATTCTTAGATTACGAGAATTTTTAATATTTTAAATAAAACTATTTTATGTATCTTTAGGGGTTTTGAGGGGTCTCTCCCGTGCACATGTTTCTTGTAAATCATTTGAACCAAAAAGCTCAAATCTGATAATATACTTGTCGTGTTATCCATATTCTACGAACATCATCTTTACTGGTTATTATTCTTGTGAACTCATACAGTATTCAAAGCTCAATACACAATTTAATCAGAGAAATCACAATGTTATAAACTTGAAAAGGCAATTCTAATAATTTAGTGAAGACACCGGGTTCACAGTCGCCGATCATCGACTTCCAACTATAATATCAAAACATAACTCTCTGTGATCCACCAAAATCAACCAACTTTACTAAACCACGTACCTATCTCCAATGAATGTCATATGAGGGGAAGGCGCCTCGACCCCGCTCGAGACGTAGCTCTGCTCGATATTTAAATTAATTCGGACTACAAACTAAATCACATAACATAGTGACTTTAAACAGTAATAAGGTTTTACATTCTAGCAGAAAAAGGTAACTAAATCCTCCTCCGTCATACTTATTTATTTCACAATATATTTCAAACTTAGGTATTCTTACTTATTTTTAGGTAAAAATAATATTTCACTTATGTATAATTTTATTTCGTTGTAACCTAACCTACAATCTAAGTAATATATACATAAGTAAAATAATATATATAAGGCAGTGGTAGCCCAGTGGTAACGCGCTCGCTTGGGAAACCGAGTGAAGCGAGTTCAAATCCATCCCGGGTCTCGCACCTCTGATATTTTCATGTGCGAATCATTTCCAATATGATTACCACTTGTCTTAACGGTGAAGTAAAACATCGTGAGGAAACCTGGATGTCTTAGAGAACTTAGCAAGTTTTCGAAAGACATGTGAAGTCCGCCAACCGGCACTTGGCCAGCGTGGTGGACTATGGCCTGATCCCCCTCGTATTGAAGGGAGGCCTGTGCCCAGCAGTGGGACGTTAAAAAGGGCTGAATACATACACAAAATAATTATACTTATTTGGTGGTAGGGAACCCTTTACGTGCGAGACACTTTACCGATTTAAAACTAAGATTATAATTTGTGCATAATAAGCTTATTAAAAAGAAAGTTTTCTTACATTTCGATATTTGTTACTTCAAATAAAACCGTTTAAGGGTTCTTTAGCCAAATGGCAAAATCGAGCCTCTTATAATTTCGTCATGCCCATTTCTACCTATAATTTGGATGGCAGATAGCAATTTGTAATAATAACTTCTAGATACAATTTTATTTCATTTTAAAGCTACAAGTAGAACAAAAATGTCGTAAGAAAGTTAGGTATCATGGCCATAGACTTCTTTATCTTATTAACTGGGCGCCGGGAAGCGGGTGCAAAGGGGTGCACTTGCACCCCCCTGCCATGAAGGAAAATATATAGAAAAGTTAAAAACATAAAATTGTATTTGTAAAATCCTTGTTTTTTAGAAATCTGCGTAAAAAGATGATAAATAAGTTATGAATAAAAATTATACAGTTAATCATTTAAAGATTAGTTAGTAATTTAACGTGAAGAATAATAATTTTCCCCTGGAAATAATTTTGCCACCGCCTATATATTCTGTTTGCATCCTACACTTCTGCTACGCTAAATAAACAGACTCTAAGCTCTCCATAGTTAAGTACTATCTACCTATTATCAAATTTATTTATTAGTAGACTTCAAATGAGAAGAGGTACTTAGTATTTATTCAATTTGGGTGTATATTTATTTTTGTGTATGCCACGCCAGCTACTCGATAATTTTACAAATTATGAATTTTACAGAAATTATATCATATGATCTTAATAATTTTACTAATATTATAAACGTGAAAGTTTGATGTATGTGTGGATGTTTGTTACTCAATCACGCCAGAGCGGCTGAACGGATCTGGATGAGATTAGGCACAAAGATATACAGTCTGGAATAGCACATGGCTACTTTTTATCCCGGAAAAACTGTACGGATCCTGTGGTTTAGATTTGTTTTTGTTTTCCTAGAGTGATGTAATTATGTATCAAACATGGTGCAGATAAATTGAAGCGCCAAAATTTAATTAAAAAAATGTTTGGAAAAAACCTGAAAATAGGTTAATTAACCGTAAAATGTTGAATATATTTACAAAATAGACGGAAAGACGTCTTAAAAACCTTCAGTGTTAATTCTGAGACTCACACTTCTTGACTTTTTTACGTTTAATATAAAATTGTAATTTTATTAAAGTCATATTAAAAAGTGGTCTTATAATTCATATAACTTATATAAGGCTCGTTGGTCTAGGGGTATGATTCTCGCTTCGGGTGCGAGAGGTCCCGGGTTCAAATCCCGGACGAGCCCGAAGTTATACCAATTTTGGTTGTATATATTTTTTATTGTAATGTAAAAAAACTAATACTGCATTTTAGAATACATTTTTTTTGTATTTTTGTACAAGTATGTATATATTTTGTTAAATTTTGATGTTGAAGTGCTTGTAATAATTATTATTTGATTTAAATTAATGTTCAACTACATAACAGGTCAATAAATTTAAAAATCGATAATCTTAATTATTTTTATTGATTTTAATGTTAAATATTAGGTACATTTCGATTGTAACGCAAAATAAAAATGTAAAATGATAAGCTTAAAGGTTTTCGTAAGCGAATTCAATTATCACTAGTTCTCTAAACATAAGTCTTATAACCCCTAAATAATTTGAATATACTGCCTATAAGAAATTTCGTTAGTTTTTGCTTTAAAAATATTAATAAATATTTTATACGTACAATAAAAAATATTTAAAAACTGTAATGAAAAGAAATATAATAGACGTATTATAAATATAAAATAAATTAAGTAAATTTAACTCTTTAAATATGTATCAAAATATATTATATTATTTAGTATTCCATTTCCATCTAAATTCTAATGTTGTTTTACATATTAATGTTACATTATTAACTAATATATTAGTTGTTAAAAATATGTAAATAAGAAAAATATATATTTGATTAAAAAATATATATTTAGCGTATTTTTAAATATAATTTATTAATTTTTTATTATTATAAAATTATTGAATTTACAACATTTCTACTGTGGCGCCATCTTAAGTCTAATTCGGTGACGTTATTTTTTTACTTCCCGCAAGATGGCTTTGGTATCCAAACAAATAAAACGTTATCCGACAAAATTAAGTTGTCATTATCTATATATCGTACTGTACTTATAGAGTACATTTAATTTAACTACATTACACAACAGGTGTTCAGCTCCGCGCCCCTTAAAACTATTAACTAACCGATTGACGATTATCAAAAAGTTCATGAGTTAAACTTTTATCAGACTTGGTTTTGTTTATAAATCATAATGAAGTAATTATATCGCATATCTCGGTGTTTAGTTGTATATCATCCTTTGTGTCGTAGTCTTTAAATAATAAAAACAATTTACAAAAATAGTAAAAAACTAAAATGTCGTCAAGTGGTAGCAGTTCGTCGCAAAGTCCGCCTGCCATGGCGTCTATAAGTGATGTTAGTGCTTTATTCCAGACAGCCAAGAAATATGAGGAGTTAAATGTTATAGGCACAGGTATTATTTTTATTTTACAAGTAAATAATAACCTAAATATACCATGTGCCGGTCACAATGTTCTCGCGCATTTTTTGTTTGCTTTTAGTAATTTAGTAAAAAAGTTTAGTGATTTTCTTCAATATGAAATTATTACTATATACAATTTATAACTATAGTATTTCTTTAGCATACGAATGTTATAAAAGTTAAAAAATACTTTCTTTATGGTGTTCTCAATTCATTTTTTAATCCGGAGGATAATTGGTCCGTGAATGAATGAGATAGAACTCTATCAATTATGTCTATCTCATCTTTGCCTTTTTTCATGGTGTTGTATATGCATCACTTTATTCAGCCTTCTGAGTCTTCATTTAAATTAAATAAAGTTGAATATTGCATGTGTGCTATGGTTTAATTACTCTTAAGATGAACAAATTTCTACATCACATATGGTAGAATGTAAGTATATGCTATAGTAGCTACTTGTAGATGTATGCTTTAGAAGTAATTCAAAATTAACCTACTTACCAGTTCAATCTTATACTGATATTTTTAAAATAATGGATGACTTTAAATCTATTTAATAAGTCAAGTATAGATTGAAATTAATTCAATTTTTAATGTAATCATATTACAAAAATAAAAAAATAGAGAAAATGACATCAAAATTTTCAGGAGCTTATGGAACTGTTTACAAAGCGAGAGATCTCCATAATGGGGGGCAGATAGTAGCGATGAAGAAAGTTAAAGTAGCATTAACAGAGGATGGTATACCATTATCAACTTTACGAGAGATTGCATTATTGAGGCAGTTGGAAGCATACAGACATCCAAATATTGTTAGGTTTGTATTGAGGTGGATATTAAATGTAATTAAACTTAATAATTATAAAATTAAACTGTAAAGTTTTTTTTAATTTAATGTTTAAAACAAAAAATAAAACAATGGAATGGTTAACTGGTATATATTCACCCTTGCTTCGCTCGGGTTTATCCCTGGGTTGATTCCCCATACAAACTTTCATCTCCATTTTCACCCTTTTAAGAGATGATTTCCGGAATAAAAAATAATACCACCTATAAATCAGTCCAGTAGTGTTTAAGTTTATTCATTAGAAACAAAAATACAAATCTTTCCTTTCTATAATAGTAGTGTAGATTATAAATGTTCACACAGCATTTTTATTTTGTCTTATTAAAGGATAAGAATGCTATTTTCAATAACATGTCCTTGTAACTTGGTATGGTATGTTCGGGTTATTTTCCGCAACTCGATGACTATGCGCTTATTTTGCGTGTGTGGGAATTTAAATTCTTGTTACTCTTGCCGTCCCAGTTCCTCCAGGAAGTTCAGCAACCTCTTCGTCTTGCCGAAGATTTCCGGGAGTGTCCTAGGGGCTAGGAGTGCCAAGATGTTGAGCCCGGTGTCTTTGTAACTTGAAAATAATAAAACATCATCATGTATTATAATGTACTAGAGTAGAATTTTTAACTCTTAATAGTAAATTACTACTTATTTTTGTTTAATATAAAGTGTATATTTCATAAAGGCTGCAGTTTTCTCTCTTTTTAAAATTAATTAATATAACTTTAAAACAACTTATTAAATTGTTCTAAATGTAAAAATGTAATATTACTTTTGTTGTGCTGCATCAATAAAGGACTCTATAAGGTATGTGTTATTAGTTACTAAAAAGAACTTAGATCATGGCTTATTGCTGGTTTCAAAACCTATACATGTCATAATATGTTGTTGAGCATCATTGATCATAGTTCTAAATTAATGTCAAAATTGCACTAAACATATTATGTACCTATATTTATGATGTAATAGAAACTATTTTATAGCTTATGACTTATTTATTTGCAATAGAATTTCAACTTAACCTTAATTTGACATTAGAGTCATTCCATATGAAAACGTCTGATTGGCAAATTTGATTAATTTTAGATTTTGATTAACTTTGAGGAATTGTTCCTTAGGATCCCTAAGAACATAATTTACGCTTATTTTATTTTTATATGCGCCCGTTTCCCCTATCCGAATTTAGACTTTCAAGCAATGTCAATTTACTTTAACAATTTTAGCTGTAAAATGTTTACTTTTCAAGATATCTATACGTTTTAGGCGGTAATTTAAAGGGGAAAGCTAATATTTTTTATGTGCCTGATAAAAATTCACTTGGTAAATACCTGTCATTAATGACAGGGTGCTGAAAATACGTGTTCTTTTTTCAATTTTTGCATTTTTTACTAACTTTAGCATCTCGACTGTTTGACGTAAGCAACTAATTTTACTCAGAAATTAAGTGTAGGTACATATCGTAGAAGAAATAAAGTCGAAAATCAACCCAATCAGCCCACTCTTTATATACAAAATCTTTGCTTGAAATTTTTGAAATTTCTAAAAATCCAGTTTTCAACTTAAAAAATGAACGTGTTGACTGCGAGATAAAAATATGAAATTAACAGGATTTTCAGTTCTCACCTTTAACTCCAAACGTCTGCAAAACTCTTTTTCTTCTTTTTTTAGTACCTTTGTAAAAGGTTTTTTGAAGTCATAATTAACCTTACCTTTTTTATGTTGTAATTTAGTAATTTTATTTACAATTGATAATTTTCTAGTAATTTATAAAAAATCGCATATTTCCTTCCTAATTTAATCTTAGAAAGTAGACCAATTGGAACTCGTTTATTTTTAAGAGAAAAAGTATTGAAAACCTGAAGTCTTATGAATTTAAAATATTAACAGATATATTAGGAATAGAAATTCGTAAAATGCCCTCGATGCCCAGCTACCCCCAAAAATTGGGGGGACGCAAGGCGTTGATAAAGTTTTTTTCAATTTTCGCCTCACTGTGACGTTCTATTAAAAAATATTTTCTACGAAAGTTGTAGGTGTAGTAAAAATCTACAACTTTTATAGATGACACTTTTTACAATTAACTTTAAACTTTTTGCAAAGAACTATGTTTTTGATTTATCTTAGTTTTTAATTTTTAATTTCTACAATAATCTTTTGATTTTGATGAAACTAGGGGAATGTAATCTTTGAATCAAACATAAATAAGCAAAAAAAATTAAATTGAAATTTTTAGCCATTTCCGAGAAATTTATGTTTTATGGTCTCGGCAGGTTGAAAATCAGTGGATGTTTACATTTAAAAATAAATTCGTTCTATTTTCAGATAGGGCTCATTTTTTTCGTGTTGAACTCTACTTGTCGAAGAAACAATAACATTGTACGATCGTCCTGTAAAACCCTTAATATTTGGAAAAAATGGAAAAATTGATAATTTTTACTTTGTAAACTACATTTTTTTAATTATCACTGAAAAAATGTATTTTATTGACCAAATTTTTATAAACTGATTACACTAATATATATTTCGGGAAAAAGGAAAAATGGTATCCTTAAGTTTTTAATTTGTTGCTTATTATTTATACAATATCGCCGTAAACATTCCGACTTCGCAATTTGACGAGTCGTGCAAAAATAAAAAAAAATAAAAGTCACGTAAAGTATACCCTTTCTTTTGTTTTTTCCCGTAGGAATTATGTTATTGTTTTTTCGAATTTATCGATATTTTAATTTATCCACTAAAAGTTGGGGATGATTTTCAGCCTCCCGAGACCATAAAACAAAATTATCTCGGAAATGGCTTAATATTTTAATTTAAAAATTTTTTTTGCTTATTATATGTATTTCAATTACATTCCCCTAGTTTCATGAAAAACAAAAGATTATTGTAGAAATTAAAAATAAAAATAAAACAAAAGAAAAAAAGAAAAACCGAGTTTTTTTGCAAATATCTCGAAAAGTTTTAGGTTATTGTAAAAAGGGTCATCTATAAAAGTTGTAGATTTTTGATAGACCTAAATTTTGTAGAAAACATTTTTTGATAGAACGTCACAGTAAGCTAGAAATTGAAAAAAAATTTTCAAAGATTTGTGTGCCCCCATTTCTCGGGGGTAGGTAGCTGGGCATCGGGAGCATTTTACAAATTTCTATTCCTTATATATCTGCTTACGTTTTAAAACCATAAAACTTCAGGTTTTTAATACTATTTGTTTGTTGCTATTAAAAATGTTTTATATTTTTTTCAGACTCCTAGATGTATGTCATGGCGGTCAGTCAATGGAGAGAGACCATCAACTAGTACTGTTTCTAGTATTTGAACATGTCGAACAAGACTTAGATTCATACTTGAAAAGAGCTCCTGGACCTTTATCTGAAAATAGGATAAGGGTATGTTAATAATTGTGGTTTTACGTTCTGGCTCCAATTCGTGCACCTCTTGGTTTTATGAGCGAATCATTTTTAACATGATTACTGCTTGTCTTACGGTGCCTGCATTTCTGTGAGAACCTAGCAAGTTTTTGAAAGACTGAAAGTACATAATCTGATCCCTCTCGCATTTAAAGGAGGTATGTACCCAGCCGTGGCTTATTAAAATTTAATATACAAATATCTCGTGTCACGGTGTTTGTGGTCGCACTCCTCCGAAACGGTTTGACCGATTTTAATGATATTTTTTTTGTATATTTGGTATTGGTATGGGAATAGGTCGTTAAGTATTTTTCACCCTCCTACCCCATTTTTTAAACACGATTTTAGTATTTTTGTATCAACAATATTATATAAATACATATTACATAGTGTATAACATAAAGCCAAAGAGTTTTCTTTGTAGATTGAAAGCGGGTGGTTTCCCTAGTGTAAATATAATATTAGTATTAATTTATTGCAGAAGAAATTAGATCAATAATAGCAACCAAGAATAACATTTATTTTAACTTATTATTACACATTTACTTAGTTGACTTTTAGCTTTTTTGGTGTATGAGTAAAAACATTTTTTTTTCAGAGTATGTCCTACGACATATTATCAGGAGTGGACTTCCTTCATTCCCATAGAATAGTTCATAGGGATTTGAAGCCGCATAACCTTTTAGTGACTTCAGGTGGGCGCGTGAAGTTGGCTGACTTTGGCTTGGCAAAGACTTATGATACAGAAATGAAGCTTACTAGTGTGGTATGTAAATGTTTTCAATATATGTATAAAAAAATATCTGCTTCCTTAATCTTATCATAGATGGCACTACTGTACTTGGAAAGACACTACATATATGTATATGTTTGCTTAGATATACTATAGACGGCATTGATTCACAAACTATCGAAATATTATTGAAGTTTTACTTCTTTTGGCGCGTTAGTGAAAATTTGATGATAGTGAATTTTTTACGATGCGACAGATTTAGACTACAGTATGAAGTTAGTCGTTATTGGCTACATTGTAAAGTTAGTCTTTAGTATAGTGAGATGTCTATATTCAAGATATTTATATATACAACACGTGTTTTATATCGATAAAAATAAAAGTTATTACAAGCTTTTATTTTTTAATAAATATAAAATCTTTTTTTATTAATTAAATATAAAATGGTAATCTAAAGAGGAAAATTCATTTTGTATTAAAACATTATGTTTAGTTACTTTTAACGTTTTTAATTAACTAATTATTTAAACAACATCATTAATTCATTCTTCAGTAAAATTACGAAAATTTGATTTGATAGTAAAACTAGCGAACTACTTACGTTTTAAGGTTTAGTATAGATTTCTCAGGGATGAAATATTTTCCCGCAATAAAAAGTATCCTTTATGTTGACCCGGATAACCAGCTTTTATTATACCAAATTTCATCAAAATCTGTCCAGTCTTTTTCTCGTGATGCGTTTCCAGACAGACAAACAAAAATTCTAAAAACTATAGATTCAGTCTCTGTATCGATAATTATGACTATTTCAATAAGATTTTTATGACTTAAAAAATATTTAATGTACAACTTCGACTTAGAATTTTATTATATGTATTTATATTTTATCTGTGTTCTAAATTCCATCAAACACACACATATAAAGATAAAAAAAGATATAATTTGGCATTTCTCCCAACACCCCCCAGGTGGTAACGCTCTGGTACCGTCCCCCGGAGGTGTTGTTGGGCGCGTCGTACAACACGGCGGTGGACGTGTGGTCCAGCGGCTGCGTACTCGCGCAGCTTCACACGAGATCTCCTTTGCTGCAGGGCTCTTGTGATTCTGAGCAGTTGCATTGCATATTCCGGTGAGTTTTGGTTTTATAATTGGAACGAAGTTCCTTGTAGCACGTTACTAGGCATACTTAGCAAATGAAAGTTAGATGGGAACAAGTGAAATGTTTCGACCGTTACGACACTTGTTCTTTACTGAGAGTACCCTTTGTGACGTCATCACAAGTACCAGGCGATCATAAGTGGAAAAGAGTTCGTAAGCATTCTTATGACGGGACCCTCCCTACATACATTATAATATAATGACCATTCGATGAGGTTTACGGTGGCCCCCCTAGTTACTCGTGACAATTATTGTTACCGATGTTATGAGGTAAGAGCAGCCCATAATGTGACGTCATCATAAGTACCACGCTAGCATAAGTTTTAAGAAGTAATATGTACAATGGTCACTCTTTGAGGTTCGTGGTCCAATAGTACTCATGACATAAGTACCAGGCGAGCATAAGTGTTGAGGAGTGTATGTTCTAAGGAAGTGTGCACTCTGTGCAGGCCCTTCTTCGATGAGCTTCAGCACGTACAATGTTCGTTGCTTGAAGTTTCTACTACCCTGATAATGGACAATGTATATGAGCTAATGTATGAACCAAGAGCATTGATATTCAAAAAGTTAGGTATACAATTAGGATCTCAAGTGTCCAAAAAAAGAAACGCGTGATTGGTTTTTTCAAATCTCTTTTGTTCATTGCTTTTCGGATGACAAAAATAGCACATTGTTTCGTTTAAAAAAGTACTTTATGTGTTTTGCGTAAGTTCGAATTTGTGTTTGGACAATTAACTGGAACTTTCGATTTTAAAATTTTATTCTTTGGTTTGACTTAGTCATATATCGACGACACTTTTTGAGGAGAAATTTGTAAGGAAATGTGTGTATCTATGCTTTTACATAGCAATGCCCAAGTGCTGACGCGAAAAGGACTTTGTTCCTACCGAGTCCGAGTCCTGCGACACCGACCGACTCTTTTTAATATCTTAGTGTGATTATATTTTATAATTTATTTAACTAATGACGGTTTTTTAAACAGAACCATATCTCAATCTCTGACGCTTGAATCAGATAAATAAAGGGTTTCCCCACTCACCCTTAAAGTTTATCCTATCTCTTAGAACACATACGGTCACAATCACAAATGCTGTACCTAAACTTTGCTTTGCTTCCAGTTTAATTGGTCGTCCGCCGCGACACGAGTGGCCGGACAACGTGTCCATCGTGCCGGACAGCTTCCCCGACTATCCTCCTCAGGACCTAGCTGATATCCTTCCACGGATACATCCACATGCTTTGGATATGATTAAGGTATGTATTCAGTCTTTTAGACGTCCCACTGCTGGGGGCGGGCCTCCCTTCAATACTAGGGGGATCAGGCCATAGTCCAGCACACTGGCCAAGAGCGGGCGGAGTGAGCATGTCTTTCAAAAACTTGTGAGGTTATCTCAGACATGCAGGTTTCCTCACGACTTTTTACTATTACACATATACAAACTTTCCGGTTTATTTTTCAGGGTATGCTAGTATTCGACCCAGCGAAACGTCTCACTGCATTGGACTGTCTAGAACACCCATATTTCACTGAAGAACCACTCACGTAATCAAATCGAAATGGCGTCCAATAAGAAATATTAATATAAATCAAAAGTGCTTATAATAAGTCTATTTGAATAAGTTTCATTTTATTATTTGATTAATTCAATAAAATTTAATCTCTCAATCATTCAAATTATGTCAATGAGGGCTCGAAACCGGTTTAATACATCACTCGCTTTACTAACCGGTTAATGAAAACGAACGGTTTAGTAAACCGAAATAATAATAGTTAACAGTTTTCCCTAGAGAAAGATTTAGGTTTTGATACCGAAATAAGCCGATTAAGTACAGAAACGTAAATTGTATTCTTTTAACTTGTAACAGAATTTTTTAAAGAATTCACGATTAGCAAAGATTCGTCAAATATAAATGTGCAAAAACTCATTTTAGCATTAATTTTCAATCATGGAACCTAAATTCGCCAAAAAACGTTTTCCGGGTTTTAACCAATTAAAGTACATAATAGACAACTTAAACCGGAAAACCTTTCGGTCTGGGATCAATGACCAAAACCGGTTTAAAAATTGAACGGGTTTCCGAGCCCTGGTTAATGGTTCAATAAATTAGATTAAAAATATTAATATTTTAAATTTATTAATTTTATTTAATTTGAATTATTCAGTTAAAAACAAAATTACGCAAAAGAATATATTTTTACAATATGATTTAACATCCCTTTAAGTTCGACTATTACGAAAACATAAATATTTTTAAATGGCATCATTAAGGCCATAATTTTTTATATATTTATGTATAAAATTTTAAGTTTCAATTAAAAAAAGTAGTAACTAAAGTTCATTGTTAAAATATATTTTTTTCATTTTATTTTAAAAAAAAGGAAAAAATACCTTTTTTTAAATATTCGTCGTTTTCGACAATTTTATGCTTATATTTTTAGATGTATTTTGTAATAAGCCCACCAATTTTTATTTTATTACTTCACTAGCTTTTATTTTATACAAGCTTAACCACCGTTGAAAAAAGCTAATTTGATAGTACACTAACGAATCTCAGACTAAGGAATGATATAGACAGTGTCATAAAATTAAACGAGAAGCCAAATAATAATGTTTGAGAATAATGAAAGATAACTAAAACTTAGAAAATGCAAAAGGATATATTATTTTTATTATTAACATTTTAGTCTCAAAAATTGAAAATTAATTTAACTTATGCAAATATAAAATTTCTCTTATTCTTTAAACAAAGTAAACAATGTGTATAGCAAAATCGAGAATATAAGCTTATACGGCAAATCACGCTATTATTTTTGACGTCGACATTTTTTGGCTGTCATAGATGGCTATGTAATTCTTTAGTCTGAGCTTTATAATTAAGTTTTTTTTTAAAAGAAGATGCTTTTAATTATATCCAAGATCCTTTCTGACATGGAATGTATGTTATAATTTTAATAGTATGTATCTTATGTGAATTTTATCGAAATCATTTCAGCTTTTAAGATAATAAGTAACTATTGTAGTTTTTTAATTAAGCAAAATTCATGTTCCTTTACAAGTGATATGGTAAATTTTAAATATTGATAAAATTATGTGACATCGAAATTAAATACGTAATTAATTTTTTAAAAGTCTTTAATTTTTACCCATCATTGTGGATGTGTGTGGAGTAAATTAATTTAAAGGATTTAAAAGAAATTAAATTCTAAATAATTAAATATATATAATAATAAATAAATATAATAAATAAAAAAAAGATAATTTTTCACGCTGGGTTTTTCACAAAAATATTATTTAGGCGTTGTAATGTTACCCTCAGAAAGTAATTTATAATTAAAGAAAAACGTGTTTTTTAATATTTTATTAATAAAAAGTTAGAATACAATAACAAATATCAATCACGTCAAATTTTAGTTTACATTGCTTCTTTCATAATTATTTCTATTTTATCTATACATTTAATAAAATTTTAACTAAGCCAAATCTGTACATTAAATATTTTTTGGAAAACCTTATGAAATAGCTATAATTATCGATACCAAACAAATAGTTTTTGAATTTCAGTCTGTCTGTCTGTGACCGCACCACGTAAAAATCACTGAAGGGATTTTGATGAAATCTGGGTCAACATATTGGATACTTTTTATTGCGGGAAAATATCTCAACTCTGAGAAATCTATACTAAAAGTTAAAACGTAAGTAGGGACGAACTCGAGTGGAGCGAGGGTGAGTCGCTGATAAAAGTATAAAAGTGTTATTATATTAGGCCTATGGAATAATATAGCCAGTGTCATAGAACTAAACATGAAATTAGTATACAGGTGACCATTTGTATACTGAGTGATGAATACAAATGTTAATAAATAAAAATGGCTAAAGGATTGTATTATAATTGGAATAAATAAGCTTATGCTATCTCTCAAGGGAACCATATCTAATACTTAAAAAATACAAAAGAATATAGTATTAATTTTATTATTCATATTTTATTCTCAAAAAAATATATTAATTTATTAAAGAAAACGAGAACAAATTGCTATTCATGCTACCATTTGCTAATCACGCTACTATTTATTTTGACTGACTCCGTGTATTTAACTGTTTAAACCTGTATTGGGGCATACAAATATTTAGTGTACTCTGTAGGTAATATATTTTTTTTCTGTTAATATTTTATTCAAATACAAATTAGTACAATAAATTTACAGAAATTACTTTTAAAACACACGATTATAATTAAATAAAAATAACTAAATAAAAGGTATCGATTTAATTACCGAGTTGGTAGGATATCGAGTATCGATTTAATCTATATTTTTAGCTCATGCAAACTCCAAAATGAATTTACCAGTTAAAAAGTAACAGTATTATCACGGTAATGTAATATTACCGTGATATTATATCTAGATACTCTTTTAAAAGTATAATATGTTCCAAATAAAATACAAAGATTCATATTTTATTTATAAAAGTATTAAGGACCGTATAGTATGTTTATAAAAAAGTCTCCATATGAACAATTAAAATGGCGCTACCGGAGCAAGATTGTAAATTTTAAAGAAAGTAGTAGAGAAGATTTTTATTTTATATTTTAACTTTCAATACATGAGTAGCTTAGGTTTTGTATGCCGTGGTTGTATTACACTTACTTTAGTCGCCAATAATATTTTATTACGGTACCTTCACTAAGCTTATAACTTAAAAGCAATTTCATATCAAACACACTTCACTCACCATTCTGGTGGTCGGTTTTGAACTTTTATTTAATGCTTTGAATTGAACACTTTTTAAAGTCGTCTATACAGATTAATAAAATTGAAGTGTCTGTTTGTAGTGTCAAAATAACAGCGTTTACTAAATGCATATGAAATTATATTCTCTATTATATACTCGTATACTGTACTTATAAGAAAAAACACATTTTTTACATTTTTATCTGTCTGTCTGTTTGTTGCGAATAATCTCTGAAACGGCTGGACTGATTTTGATGGGACTTTCACTGGAAGATAGCTGATGTTATAGGGGGTAACATAGTCTACTTTTATTTTAGAAAAAGAATTAGGGTTCCGCTCAAAAAATTAAAACTTACCTAGGGACGAACCCGAGCAAAGCGAGGGTGAGTCGCTAGTTAACAATTAAATTGAATTGAAGATGGCCCTCCTTCCTCCTGTCATGATTTTAGAATTTAGCATTAACATCTAATCACGAGACGACATCTTTTTGAGAGAAGCGCGGGAAAAATGTTAACATTCCCGTTGTTTTTTTTTTATAATAATATATTACTCATAAGCAAGGTTGAAAAAAAATAGTTAATGCCAATTAATAAAATATATTTTTTTATTTGAAATCACAAGTAATAAATATCTTGCTAATATTAATAGATACATGCATAGCTTTTCTATAATGTATTTTGTGCTCGATACTAAAGAATTTAGTATAAAGCGCAAATATTTAATAATAACTCGATTCATAATTATGTCTCACAAATTAAGTAAGTTTTGCGGAAGAGTTAAACAATAAATTTATACATATTTACATACAAATAAGATCCGAGTTTCCAAGATTTCTAAACGTTATTCGTATAAGGACTGGCGTGTGCATCGTAAAAACTTCTGATGACCTTAGGTACCTACATTTTGTTTTAGAACAATTCTTATGACATAGTTTTTATCCCTTTGCCATCCAAAAATAATCGTGAATATATTCCAAACACCACAATATGGCATAAAAATATATTATCCTTTTTCATACAATAAAAATGGAAACTCTTGCTTAGTAATTATAATAAAAAAGTACAATATTTATTTATATAAAATAAACTCGCTGGCCAATTCGTCCTCCTGTTCCACCGTACATTTGACGTTAGCTTCGAAATCGCATTGTTCTGTCCGTTCGTTGAAATAAAGTCCATCAGTACAATATGCCGATTGAGGCAAACCGTTGATACAACGCCAGTAACGTTGACAATCTCCTCTGGAAAAAAATATATTTTTATATTATTAATAATTAAACTTAGGAGCGTAACAATCATCTATATCTACTTATAATAAAATGTGCTTGAAATATTTTTAATCACCAAGGACTGTAACATACCTATTGTGTAAAGAAATTATAGACCCCATAACAATAGTTATCGAAATTTTTGTCTGATTATCTGTATGTCTTTCATTCCCTTGAGAAAACACCATAATATTGGTCCACTCAAGTCGTCCATAGAAATTTACATGGCTAAAATTCCCTAAACCTAAAGAGATACATCAAAACAATGTATTTACTAAAAAATAGCAGATCCTAAAAAGGCCTACAGAAAAGTCTACATTAGCATACTATGTCTATCTTCCAAAGTACACTCGCAATAATTATTTATATCCTTTTAATACATACCTTGGGGCGCTAGCTAGAGTCGTTAGTATAATATACGTAGCTAATCTGTACATGTTAGTATTATAAGGAGGAAATATTTGATGTTTTGTTTTGTTTGTCCCCATACAAACAAAACAAAACATCAAATATTTCCTCTTCTAATCAATAATCTATCAATCTATCTAATCAACCTAGGGACGAACCCGAGCGAAGCGAGGGTGGGTTGCTAGTCTATACATATAATAAAATTCTAACTGAGTCAAATCTGTACATTAAATATTTTTGGAAAATCTTATTGAAATTTTAATTTAATTATCGATACAGAGGCCGAATATAGTTTTTAGAATTTTTGTCTGTCTGTCTGTTACCGCATCACAAAACCGAACAAAAAAAACTACTGGACGGATTTTGATGAAATTTGGTATGGTCATAGCTGATTATCCGGGTCAACATATAGGATACTTTTTACAGTGGAAAAATATCTCATTTCCGAGAAAAAATACAAAAACTGTAATGTAAGAGTATACTAATATGTAAAACCTAAGAATTTGGTTTTTGGTCATCCGAACGCGGGCGAAGCCGCGGGCAATGCTAGTATAATATATTAGTAAGTTATAATTTAAATTATTTTATACCTGTTTTATAAATAGTATATCTCGAGATTTTAACTAAATCCCACAGGGAAGATCTATACTATTAATAAGTATAAAGCTAAAGATGAAGCTGTATTTTGTTTGTTTGAAAGCGCTAATCTTTGGAACTACCAGTTTAAAAAGTCTCGTCACGACCATTAACAGCGGAGTAATTATATAAAAATAAATTATGAAAGGAAAACCACGAGAAAGGTCTAGTTATTAATCAATAACTCATAGTTAATAATCGATAGAAATTAGCGAACTTACCTGTAGGCAACGTGTTTGGAAGCAGAGTCTGCTCTAAGACAGTTCAGTGGGGTGTTGAAATTAAGTGTTCTGGCCGGCGCCTCTATGCTCTGTGGCCGTACGCTGTTGGCGACGCGGTCGGCTGTCAGGATGGTCTCTGCTCCTGGAAAATAACATTTCCTTTTGAAAAACTTCTAACTGACTTTAAAAAGGAAATTGCACTCCTAGGTGTAGAAAACAATGTTTTTACGGACATTTTAGTGTGTTTTTAGTGTTCACCCCGTGGTAGAAATTCGACCATAATCACTATTGCAAATTTGATGAAATCAAATGTATATGAATAGAATTTACTTGTCTAGTAATAAAAAGTAGATGTTATCAATTTTTTTTAATTAAAGGTTACTAAACAAAAAAATAGAAATCGGTTAACAAACAGAGAAGAAAAAGGTACTGAACCGTTTTGCCTGTAGATAGAGTGATTACAAAAGAATCAATAATAAAAATTTTATTACCTTCTGATACTTCACCCATGAGCTGTGCAAACTCTTCGTCTCCAGAACCATCTATGTCATCTGGTTCCGAGCGGAGAATGCACTCTGTATCTCGAGGCCAGTCGCACACCTGTGGGAATATTAAAAACATAAAAACATGGTCAATTTCGAGCTGTACTTGAAAAGCAAGCTGTTAAAGACTTTCTTTATTAATGACATTTAATTATAGCCTAGAGCTGATAAATTAAGAAAAGAACTAGAAAATTGTTAATAAACTTTTTTGTGCTGAATATTATTATACTATAAATGATTTTTTAAAAGATGATCTTCGAAGTCCGAAGTGATGTGATCGCGTTCAGGATCTTTTAGTGTTGGACATAACCATATTTCAAATATTAATGTAAAAAAAAAAAGATATGGGTATAGTGCCTATGAGTTTCTTGTTCAGCTCAGTTCACTAGTTTTTCGCAGGATGAAGGCGTTTTTTTGAACAATGCGAAAAGTATATTTCATAATAAAAATATTGAATAAAGAATTTTGAAATTTAATTAGTCCAGGTGGCAGGAGGTACACGTTATGTAACAGACGAGCAAAAAAATCCCCTATAACTAAAGTAACCTTCGGAAAGTAGGTACTCATAAATTAAAAATAACCTTTTTGAGGAACTGTATGATGATTAAGCGAAAGTATATCTACTAATGATAATGAGATATTTTATCATAATTAGTTATCAACTATAGTTACGCAATTATTATTGATTTTGCGCGCTAATCTCTAGAATGGCTATATAAATCCCTAGAATTAATATACATGAAATTATTGAAAGACTTTTGACAGCGCTAATTCTTCAGACTATTTTTGTTATTTTATTTTTGTTAAAGGCAGTGGTAGCCCAGTGGTAATGCGCTCGCTGAGGAAGCCGAGTGAAGCGGGTTCAAATCCCGGGTCTCGCATCTCTGATATTTTCATGTGCGAATCATTTCCAACACGAGTATCTCTTGCCTTACAGCGAAGGAAAACATCATGACGAAGGAAATCTGCATATCTGAGAAAACCTATCAAGTTTTCGAAACACACGTGAATTCCACCAACTCGCACTTGGCCAGCAGTATAACGTAAAAATGGCTGAATACATTTTTGTTTGCTTGAATAGATAACAGATGTCGTTAATCCTCAAATTTCAGATTTTTTTGTTTTTTAAATATGTAAGTAGATGGAGAATTTCAAAATGGCCGCCATGCAAAGTAAAAGAAAACACGATTAGAACATATTGTTACATCTTGCACGATGATACGGATCTCTTCATGAGTGATGTTCGAGTCCTACTCGCATTTGACCGGTTTTTCTCTTCCGTGGTGGAAATGAAGCAAACACTGGGTGCGTCGCTAGTGAATATAAATATGTACCAATATAATAATATTACCTGTTTTACAAAGTTGAACATCAAGTCACCTGGACAGGTAAACTCCACTTCATTTCCGTGCGCGCACATGTAGAATTTGTGACAGCTCGTGAAATGTGGGAGAAGAAGAAATATCTGAAAGTAACAATAAATTTACTAGCAGAAACCGCGGCTTCGTTAGCTCTAAAACTTCAAAAAATCTAAAAAGGTAGTTTCATACAAACTTTCATCCCCTATTTTACCTCCTTATAGGATGAGTTTCGAAAAACGCTAAAACACGTATTATTTTTTTTGGAGAGATTAATACCAAGTTTAAAGTAATTCTGATCATACATATTTTTTTGGATTGTATTGTAATTTGTTTTCCCGTGAGAATTAGATAATCTCCCGCATTAAAAAGTAGCCTATGTCACTATCCAGGCCTCCAACTACAGTTTCGACGTGAAAGAAGAACAAACAAACAAACAAACAAATAAACAAACAAACACACTTTCACATTTATAATATTATAATAATTATGGATAATAAGGATTATGACATTATAAATACGAAAGTTTTTAAGAGTGTGTTGTTACTCTTTCGCGTTTAAACGGCTGGTCAGATTTGCATTAAACTTGTACACAGATAGTGTGAGTAACAAATAGGCACAGACAATTTGGTTGTAATGTCTGTGCACATAGGCTACTGCTAGGAAATCAAGTGCAGCGAGGATAAGACGCTTGCGATGGAAGAAGGATGGCTAATTTTTTTATTTTATTATTTACTTACTATAAAAACTAATATTTCTATGGCTAAACTGAAATCTCTACATATATTATAAATATATGTTTGTCTATCTATAAGCTCTGAAATATACTCACATGCCCAGCCGGATCACACGACAGCGAATTTGGATCAACTCCTTCTAAATTCAACGCGGAATCTTCAGCGGAGAAGACTCCAAACGAAGCGAAGAAAATTATTAAAGTTGGAACTGTAACAATACATATAATATTATATATGTATATAAACTAATGTATGTTGATTATTATAATATACAGGCATGCAGTGGAGTAGTGCATATTAAAGAGGCTCCATCCTTTGCTAGGGCAGCGAGGAGCGGTGCAGTCCTGGTCAAAAATTACTGATTACTTGATTTATTATGATAATTTAATTGAGAATTTTCATCATCATAATATTCGGTTAATTTATTTAATAATTTCAGTTTACCGGACATACATACATACTGTCAAATACATATTAATTCTCCTCCCCAATTATGCATTAACGTCCGGCGCGAAGCCATGGGACACAGGGAGGTGGCCCACATCAATGGACGGTGTACCATGCGAGTTGCTCCCGGTACTTCTCTGACAGCAGAGTGGACCGTAGGAGCAACCCCTTGGTTGTGTTGTCGTAGTTGAGTGTCGATTCTACGTCGCTCCATTAAGACGGATGGGGTTTTGTTGGGTTTTAGTGGGTAATACTGGCTTTGCCTGTGAATCAACCACATATCTACTTGTATGTATACAGATGGTATGCGTAAAAATAAAAATAAGGTCGGCAATAAACTAGGCGTTTTTTTTAAAGTTCTCATTAGGCGCTTTACTACATAAGCTACGAGTATAAGCAAAGGCAGGGTGCTATCATCACGACTGGGCCTAATGTATGCGCACCTGCTCAAAACCCATAGGGATCTTCTCAAAGAAGATTGACACTAACAATAACTATACATTCAGACTTAAAACAGTCAGAGAAGCATTGGATATTTTTATCTATACATATAATAAAATTCTATATCAGTCGAATCTGTACATTAAATATTTTTTGGAATATCTTATTGAAATAGTCATTATTATTGATACAAAAGATCGAAAGATCGAATCTATAGTTTTTAGAATTTTTGTCTGCCTGTCTGTGAGTGATCGCATTACGGAAAAACCATTGGAGGGATTTTGATGAAATTGGTATGATGATGATAGCTGGTTATGCGGGCGTATATAGGATACTTTTTACTGCGGGGATATATCTCATTTCTGAGAAATCTATAATAAATGTTAAAACTTAAGGAAAGACGAATTCGATTTATCATTTCAAACGCGAAAGTTTTTATGTGTCTTTCACGCTGAAATGGCTGAATTTATTATTTTCTGACTAATAAATATATAATAATTAATTATGATCACAAATCATCGATAAAATTACCGATAGTATCTAAAGTAATAAACATTAATAACTAATGTAAGTTCGGTGTCTTTCTACTTTGTTTCTTGTTCCGATGCAGTGATAATATCTTAGATTGGCCGATTTTTTAATTGATTGCCTTTATTATTAATCGATCCGTGGATTTTAAAAAATAAAGAGAATATTCTTTTTTATGCGTCTGCGGAGTTAAATCTAACGATCTTTTGCGTTATTATAATTTGCCCGGCCATTTAGGCCGGCATCGGTTTCTATTATATTCCAAGCATTCGTTAACTTAAACTAAAATGGTAATTAATATATGAATCCAACCACAAATCCTACCACTAGTGATTAATCGTGTATTTTTCATCTCATTCTCCTGAATCCTCTAGATGAAAACAAGTTCAACATGAAACAAGTTCAAGATGAAAATAAGTCAAATATAGTATTATGAATTCGGAGCCGTACCTCATATATCAGAGATGTACATACGAGTATGTACATCTCTGATATATGACTGCATAATACTATATTCCTTCGGGAACTTGTTTTCATCTTTTTAGTTAGCTTATTAGGTTATGCATGCGTTATGCAGTCGGTTTATTTTTATAATGTATTTATTTATTTTAGGATTTTTTTGTCTTATACCTAAAGTTTAAAATATTAATAGTTTTGGTATACCTACCTATTTAAATTATAGTTTTGGCATTAAAACTTTTGTATTTGCAATTTTTACTCTTCTTCAATAAGGAATCTCAGAATCTTCAAAAGAATACAAATAAGAAAAAATAATATTAATGAAGATGGAACAAACTTCGACAAAAAAACGTTCTTTCGTTAATGGCTTCTAAAGTTTAGCACACACGATATTAGTATTAACTTATTCAGAAGAGTTTAAGTATATATATTAGGTATATATTTACTTTTGAACATAAACTACTGTGTGAGACAAAACATTTGCGCATTTAAAATATTATAATATTTTATGGAATAAGTACCTAGGCGGGCCCGAATGCCTAACTACGTTTGCTTTAATCTAAATACCTGGCAACAACATATCTATAAAAAATTTAAGCCAAAATATTAAATATTTCTTACTTTTTTAATTTGTAAAAAAACTGTCTGCCAGGAGAACAGAGAACTTGGAATTCTTATGAAAAATTTATTAAAATACACAGAAAGAAGTTACAGAAGCTAATGCAAATATGCATGAACATATGTTTAATAAGTATATGTTGCTTTAATTTTATTAAACTATTTAACACATGTATCAGATTATTAATCGTAAAATTTGCACATTATCAAGATTTAGATAGACTTTTTTGGTCGGCATGTCTTTGAATACTATGACGCAAGCAATAACACTAATATCTGTCGATCTAATCATTACAAAATATTAGGTTGAAATATGAAATTTTAAATTTTGCACAAAACCCAGCCTAGTAGTAGACTAGTAGACTGTGGAGATCTTCAATGGCTAATAGTAGATACTTTGAGTTTGGGTTTATTGCGTTTGATTTCATTAGTCTAATATGTTAGAATTGGATTTTAGAGCCTGATTTTTAGTGTTAGTAATAAAAGCGAATTTTAGTTTGTCAGACTTCATATAAAAATTGGCATCGTACCTAACTTAAACGGCTTAAGCGAATATTTTAATAAAATACTTTCTTCTTACTTTGCTAATGCTACGTCTTCACTAAAAATAGAAAAATTAAAATTAAAAAAAAAAACGTCTTCAAAACAATAAAAAATAACTGAATGGGAGTTTTCATTTGCTGTAGATACCTAAATCAGATATTTTCGAAGTCGGTGAACCAGAGCACAGCTTACATTACAAATTTAATACTTACTTGTCATATTTACCTATTAGATAGCTATTCATATCTTAAATAATTGTCGGCTGGCACCCACTTCGCAAATATCAGATTAGGTATCTATAGTAAATGAAAACTATCGTCTATCAATCAGTTCTTTTTATATTTTTAGTGCCTAGAAGCTATGAATAAATAATACGTTATTTATTCGTAGCTCGGAAATCGTTTTTTTTTAAAAGAAAGTAATATACCTATTTGGCTCATTTGTTATACAACCTTAGTATTAAAAAAAAGGGCGGTGGTTTTGAGAATAACATTCTTGCATTTCATAAGAAAGAGAGTGATGTCGGTGTCACCTATAATTAATAGGTAACGACTACTTAGTCATGAATTGATTCTAATACTTATTTTAAACTATTATTGTAGTTTCTGTATCTCAATATATAACAAAGCAACTGTTTGTGTGTTTCTCTTCAGCTCTTCTTAGTAGACCTGCTTTCCAGGCCAGTAGTAGCTAGTAGCTCTTCAAGTCTTCATGGACAGTAGGTACTAAATAGACACAAGAATGTCTCGAAATTTTATTAGTATCATCCTACAAAAGTTTATGTTATGTATGATATCACGATTCTGGATCGTCGTGAAAAAAAGATACCTATACATAATCTATTTATTGATATAAAACCTTTGTGCTACTTTGCCCGATAAGGATTAGTAAACATGTAAATAGTAACAAAGAATTAAAATAGGTATCATATGTAAGAAATTTTAAGTATTTCTTTTTTTTATTTGTGAACGCCATAGAATATAAATACATAGTTTTTCTTTTGGCCACGGCTCCGCTCGCACTTGCTTTTTTTTAAGAGTCCTCTCTTCTCCGCATATAAGAATCCTATGCGTGATGTTAATATTTACAATTACTTAATTCCTCATAAAAAAGGCTATAAAATGCAAAAACACTTCAACAGACAGACAAAAAAACTTTAAAGCCTCACGTAGTGCATGACAGAGTAATCTATACATGTAATAAAATTGTAACTAAGCCGAATCTGTATACTAAATATTTTTTGGAAAATCTTATTGCATTAAACATTATTATCGATACAGAGGCCGAATCTATAGTTTTTAGGATTTTTGGTTTTCTGTCTGTCTTTCTGTTAAAGCATCACAGAATAACCACTGGAGGGATTTTGATGAAATTTGGTATGGTGATAGCTGGTTATCCGGGTCAAGATATAGGATACTTTTTACCGCGGTAAAATGTCTCATTTCTGAGAAAAAATACAAAAACTGCAATGTAAGTGTATACTAATATGTAAAACCAACGACCACTCAGCCCGATACACACCTAGTAGTCGTTGTGCAAAACCTAAGAATTTGATTTTTGGTCATCTGAACGCGGGCGGAGCCGCGGGCAATGCTAATAAACATATAATTTATTGTATAACTTAGTAATTTGTATATAAAGTGCTATCCTTGCTACCGTACTAACTTGAGAGCGCTAATCACTTTTTAACAGGCTTTTATTATTTTAAATGTAAAATTGTGACCTTCACTGTTGGGTTTACGATAATATCTGAATAGTTAAAATGTATATTTGTAAAAAATAACATAGCAAATCTGTTTGTGGTGCTAACTAATAAATTAAACTAAAAATAATGTTAAAACTAATAATATTAATTATTATTAGATGAACACCTTAGTTCAGAACTTATATCAATAGATGACGCTGTGTTACGTTAAAAAAGCAAGATACTTTTCTTATAACTGTACAGTGTTTGCTGGCATAATTTAATAAGTTTTTTGTTTATTAATAACTCATTTATTGCTAAATAATGTTGAATTAAAAATATTTTTATTTAGATTAATGACAATTTTATCATTACCTGTAAACGTATTTAATCTGTGGCCTATACTCTATAGTCTATAGTCATAGTCATTCTGCAATTTGCAAATTGCAATCTGCATCTACGATTCATGGACTAAATTAATAATCTGGTTACTGATTGGTGTTGGTACTTATTTTTAATAACAATCATCTAATTTTAATTTTCTATTATACGTTATTTGTTATCGTTTAATTTGTTACTATATATACTACATAATGTCATCCGATTCTGACGATAATATATTTGGTAACGTTAAACAAACACTTATTGGCTTTCAAAAATTTGAATTTAAACCAGATGATATCGTGGATTTATGTGATGATACTAAGTATGAAATATCTACAAAAGCTGCTGGCTTTATGGATGACTGTATTATTTTATCAGACAATGAAGCAAATCAGAATATAACTAAAAATAAGTCAAAACGAAAAACTCGCACAAATAAAAGTGTCATTCAAAATACTGATGATGAATTGGTAACGAGCAAGAAAACTAAAAATGAAAGTGGTGATAAAGGTAAACCTAGTAAACGTACTAGAAAATCAAAAGAAAAAGATGACAATCACATATTAGATGTTGTATCTAGCACTAAACCAAGAAAAGCTTTAAGAAAAAGTCCAACCGACCAACAGCGTAGAGGAGCCACCAGAACGAGTCCAAGGCTTCGCAATGCGACTAGAAGAGGCTATCAAAGTCATTCGTATACTACCATAAGTATTGGAAATACATATGAGTATCCAGATGAACTGGAGACAGTACCAATATTTAACACACAACCATGTGATATAATAAACTTGGATGATAGTGACATTGTAGATGAAAATAAGGAATTATCAGTTAAAGTTGAATGGCAGAGTGTAGAAATAATTAAATTTACATTAAGAAAATTCCAGAAACTAACAAAAATATATGATTATTTCTGTGATAACCACAATGTTAAAAAAGAAAATTTAATATTCATCTACAAAGATAAAATACTTCAGCCAGATGACACACCAGATACAATAGGTTACAGCGAAGCAAAATTAATAGAAGGTGGCATAGTTTATGAGAATGTGCTTAAACTTTCTAAAAATGAATGCACTAATAACATTGTATCAGGCATCATAATTAAGTTTCGAACCCAAAATTCGAAACAGCCATTTATATTGTCAGTAAAAGATGATGAAAAGTTACATTTAGCTATGATTAAATGTGCAGAGCACCTCGAATTGTCACTAAACCAGTTAAGATTTGAGTTTGATGGTGATATTGTCACGGGTAAGTACTTTTGGTGATGCAAATAAGTTATGTTTTTGTAATCTATACAGAAAAATAAAATTGAAGTGTCTTTTTGTAATGTTAAAATAACAGCTTTTTACTAAATGCATATGGAATTATTTATGGAACTTATACAAAAAATACAATATTTAAAAAATTTGTCAGTCTGTTCAACTGATTTTGACAGGACTTTCACTGGTAGATAGCTGATGTTATAAGGAGTAACTTAGGCTAATTTTATTTTTAAAAAGGAATAGGGTTCCTCTCAAAAAAAATTAAAACATACCTAGGGATGCACTCAAGCGAAGCGAGGGTAAGTCACTAGTAATTTATGTTAGTTTGATACTTGATGATGATTAAAAAATATCAATGGATGCTTCTTTCATAATAGTCATAACAAGAATCAAAATTCTAACACAGGATTGGCTTATTGTTTATAAACAGATTGCCATGTAATAGAATTCAAAAGAAAAAACAAATGATAATTATTTTTTGTCATTATTACTATTGTCTTTATTTATCTTAATTGAAATAGACATTAACACAAGCTCTAAATTATATATTTTCTATCCACGTACATAATAACCTCCAAACTCCCATCTCTAGTTTGGTGGAACACCAATTTAATATTTATTTAAATTTTATGTGTTAATTTATTTTTATTTAATTGTGCACACAAGAATGACTTTTCAATTTTATCAAGCTAATTAGTAATTATTACAGTTTGGTAATATGTATTTCACTTCAAATACTTTGAAAGTTTTAGACATATGTTATGGTAACATAACTTATAGGTACTTTTATATCAATATCAAAGTTGACGAGTTTATAATTTTTCTTTGTTTAAACATCAAGTAGTTTTGGAAATCTTTGAGGGAGGCCTATGCCAAGCAGTGGATGGAGATGAATCATTATCAATCTAATTAAATCTTTTTGCATTTTATAACCTAATTTATTAAAGAACAATAACAAAACTAGCATTATAATTGAATTAAACTAGATAATTAGAGTTGTGGGCAAATGGTATTGTATAAAAAAGGAGAATAACCATAATATTGCCATATCTATAGATATCTAATTAAGCAATATGAGCAGTGACAAGCCGAGCCAGAAACAACTGGTGTATCATAGAATTGGTTGTAAACAATAAATAATTTCTTTATACTGAAAAAGGTATAACTTCAAAATCACACATGATTCACTCTCAGAGGTATCTTATTTTAGTTAATGTGAACACTGATTTAACCTATATGTAAATGAAAATTGCACAATTAGTGAAGACATTCCGTAATATTTACAAAAATGTAAACTTCTTCCTCTTAAAATCAGTTTATTTAGCAGCTCAGTGGTAGCCCTGTGGTAACGTTCGATTAGGAAACCGAGTGAAGCGGGTTCAAATCCCGGATCTCGCACCTCTGAATCATCTCCAAGATAATTACCACTTGTCTTACGGTGAAGGAAAAAATCGTGAGGAAACCTGCATGTCTGATTAAAATAGAAAAGTTATTGGACGAGTAGTCCGCCAACGCGTACTTGGCCAGCGTGGTGGACTATGGCCTGATCCCCCTCGTATTGAAGGGGAGGCCCGTACTCAGCAGTGGGACATTAAAAAGGGCTGAATACAAAATTATCAGTTATAGAAGATTATTTATATGCTAATTTATAACTGGGCTAAGCCAAAACAATAATGCCTAGTTTATAGACGAATAAAATCTTTCTTAAAGAAATTGATAATTTTTTTTTTCTTTGCAGGTAAACAAACTGCAAAGGATTTAGAGTTAGAAGGAGGAGAATACATAGATGTTAAAGTAATTAAATAGTTGTTTCTTAAGTATTTTAATATTAATTGTAATTATTCATTCAAATTATAGTTTATATTATTATTTTTATTATATAGTTCATATTAATTAAATTATTGTATTATTTCAATGACATGATGTAATGTTTAGCCATAGTATTAAAGATCTCCACGAAATTTGTGTTATATTTTTTTATTGCTTTTGGTACTGGCTTTTTTAGCTTTTTATGTAGGTATAAATACTATTTTAAAGCTTTTTAAAAGCTTAAGGACATTTTTATGTTTAATATGCTTTGGATTAACTGGCATTCAGATTAAAAAAAATCTGTGTACATAGCCTTTGTAAAGAGCAAGATTATATAATATTATATAGGATCTTAGAGCATTTTTTTCTTTAATGTGTTTAGAAAGGAATTTTGTAAAAAGATTTTTTTATAAAGACAAAAGAATGGAGTAGAGGGCACGAAGCCAATGGTCCTGCGTCTAATCTCTCACTGGTTGTGTCAATTGTCCCAGTCTCACTCCGGTATGCCAGTGACAGGAATAGAAAGTGCACTTCTGTATGCACTGCACTGTAATATCTCTACTTTTGAGATTGGGCCCCGTGGCTGAAATAAGCCCATATGGCATTATAATTATTATAAAGGGAGATAGCATTTAGGCAAATTTTATTAGTAGCAGTTGCTTATGTGTTACTCCAGGTCATATCTACTTACTATATTACATCCAAGTCTGTCCAGTTTTCTAAGTGTGAAGGAGTAACAAACATACACACATACAAAGTAGCATTTACAATAGTAGTGTTAAAGACTATTTGAAAGTGTATAGATATATTTAAAAAAAAAATATTAACATGGCAGACATCCTTAGAGCCAAGCCGAAAATGATATTTAAAAATTGTATGTTTGATATAAAGTTTACTAGAAAGACATAAAATAGTCATTTTGCTACGATGAATCATATTAATTATGATAGCTATAATATTATTAACATGATAAAACTGAACGTGAATATCAGATCAAATCTATGTAAAAAATTAGTTCATGAAAAAAACTTACTATTTACTCTCGCTTTTGCCAATCATATGTGTTATTCTATATTGTGTCTAGTTATGTATGTCTATCTGTGTACTAATTTTCAACAAAGTCCTACCAGATGTTTTAGCATGAAGCAGTAACAAACATGCACACAAAGAAACATTCGCATTTATAGAAGTTAGATATTAATAAAGGGGTAATTTTGTATATTTTTGGAAAATTATTGGTGAATAGAACATTCTTCAGTCAAATAATTTAAATAATTACTTTTTAATTAAAAAAAGTCAGATATATCTGTTTGTTTTGTTCTAATTTATAGCCAATGTGTAATGAGTAATCCTAAAATTATAAAATATTTAATTTAAGAATTATCAAACATTGATCATATATACCTAATAACATAGCTATGCCTATTTATGTACATAAAAGGTAGGTACATAAATAGGCATAGCTATTAGCTTGTGTTTAAACTGCATGATATGTATTTCAGTGTTAAATACTTGTTTTTGAAAAAATGAAACCAATTTAAATAACCATTTTAATTTGCACCACCCAATTAATGGTCGAGAGGTAACTCAATCATCAATTATTTAACAAGATGGTATTAAATGAATATGGTAGCAAATTAATATAAAAAAATATATTGTTTTTTTTCGGATTTCGTATAATAATGGGACTTATAAATATTGAAATCGATATGACAGTTAGAAGTAAGTACTTAGATTAAAATCGACTTCCTAGATTAAAGATTACACAGCTACAAGTACTCGTTGGTAAGTGCAGTGATGATAATGAAAGGGCATAAAGTATGAATATTTTTACTGAAATATATAAACATATAAATGTAATTATCTATTTCAAATATAGTTAAATAAGTAAATATCGGAAAAGCTGGGCTAATAAGAAAAATAGGAACGAAAATTTTTAAATTACTATAATATTCATTTTATAAAGGCACAGTGTGTTTTTAATTTTTTTAAGTTTACTAAATAGTAAGTAGTAAGTTACAGCTAGTAAGTTTTTTACCGAATTAAAAAAAAATCCTAATTCGTTTAACCGAGAAAGTACCTTGAACTCTACCACTATATTCAGTAATTCTGAAACTATATAAAAAAATAAAAGTAAGTAGATCCGAATTAAAAAAAACACAATATACAAGTAATGCCTACTCCAAAGTTTAAGAAAACATTATTTTTAATAAGTATGTTTTCAACCTATATTTGTAATGTGTTTCGCATATTTTTATGACATTCGCATTCGTATTCACATGAAACGATGCGAATGTATTTGACTAACAAAAGGGAAATTATATGTACCTATATGAAATGGAAAAATATAGAATTGAATGGTAATACAAACGATAAAATTTATATTTATTTATTTACTTACAATATTTGAATAAAAAAATGATTATGGAACAGTTTTGAGGTAGGCAACTAAATTAGAAATAATTTTTCTTTTGTTCTTCTTAGTGTAATAAAAATGTAAAAAAATCACAACTAAATTAAAGAAAAATGAATGTCTTTCCTTACATTTTAAAAAGTCAACATTCTAAATTATAAATAATATCTTTTGTGAAAAAAGAACACGAGAGGTGCAAAAGAATATAACCAAAATTAAACATCTAATATCTAAAATTTTATGTAGGTACCTAACCCTCGCTTCATTCCATTATATATTTTTAACCGAATTCCAAAAAGGATGAGGTTCTCAATTCGTCGGAACTTTTTTTTAATTGTGTTCACCGATTACCCGAAGATACCGATGCGGATTTATTTTTTTGCTTAAAAGGGTATACTTCCCCGATGGTCCCATTTTATTTTATTGAATTCGTCGAGCGGTTTTTAATAAAACAACAAATTATTTTTTTAAATAAATTGCATAATCGAATATGTTATTAAAAAACTTTCTTCTTACAAATTACCTGCTTATTACGTCTACACTAAAAATGGAAAAATAAAAACTTACAAAAAACCGACTTCTAGGCACTAAAACGTATAAAATAATTAAACGGGGTTTTTTTATTTAGAATAGATACCTAATCAGATATTTTCTAAGTCGGTGCCAGTCGAAAATATTTTAAGATATGAATATCTAATAGGTAAATATGATTAGGTATGGATTCTAATATAGTTAAAATATTATAGGTACCTACATCAATTTGTGATCTATTTTACGTATTGAAATATATTAGATTTGCTTCGCATCGGCTATCACCGACTTCGAAAATGTCTGATTAGGTATCTATTATAAATGAAAACCCCGTTTAGTTATTTTTTACATTTTAGTGTCTGGAAGTCAGTTTTTTTTTAATTTTTATTTTATTTCACTATATATATTTTTTAACAATAAAAGATAATGAAATATAAACTCAAAAAAAATAAATAATGAATACTTAAATAAACTATTTAAAATTAAGTTAAGTCAACGTTCGCATTCGCGATCATTGGAGATGAATATTCGCATTGCATTCCCGGATATGAAAAATTGAACATTCGTTACATCATTAATCACTAATATACATATATAAATAAAAATCGATTGCCAAATGTGTGTAAGCGAATTACTTCAGAACCTATTTGGCTAATTGTTTTTTTGTTGTGTTTGTAACTTTCAGCCTTCAGGACAATGCTTGCATGAAAGAAATGTTCGAAAACTTGTACGGAAAAGTGAAAAATTTGGGTTAAAAAATCTCCTATAAAAAGTGAGTTGACAGATTGACGTTCGGTTGTTCAGTTTCTTACATGGTTTTATCTGTTACATCCGAAAAAAATCTTGTTTTTGTTGTTTTGTGAAAAAAATACCTTCCTAGTAAAAAAGTTTTAGAATTTTATATTATTCAAAAAAACCTGCTTTTTTTAAAAAATACCAGCGGATGCAACTATTAAGTACTACAGTCCATCTATTAACATAAGTGATAATCTGTTATAACATGACAACAATAAGTATTTAATAAAGATCGGTCAATTGCGAGTCGAATTCGCACACGAAGGGTTCCGTATCATCGTACATGTACTTTTTATTAATATGTCATTTACTCTATGTATGTAGTATATTAACTTCGATGATCGATTACGAACGTTAAATAAATGTTTCTTGTATTTTTATTTTCATTTATTTTTATTATTTGTTATTATAGCGGCAATAGAAATAAGTAGATAGATACTTTGTGAAAATTTCAACTACCTATTACGGTTTATGAGATACAGATAAAGGAGACTTAGTAAAAGAAAACTACTTTAAGTATCCCAACATAAAACTTTCCTGTAGGATTAATAATTATAATAATATAAAATTTACCGAAAAATGTACGGAATGTAATAAATCCTCGAGTGGAATCAGTCCACCCAAACAATTCTAGCCCTGGTCATATTTACACCATGTCTTAATAATAATAAAAAAAGTAGAGAAATGTTCCTATATTATCTTAATAAACGTGAAAGAAAAAAAAATGATGAAAAATGAAGTAAAATACGCACCGAACATGTTTGGCACTATCACTACACTATTGCTCACTAACTGTCTAATTTCCTTTATGTTTACTTTATCTTATATATTAATTATATTGCAATATGATAGGCTCTGTACGTGACTTTTCTTGTTTATTTTTTAAAATTTAAATTATTTAATTGAAATTAGGTAACTAATATCATGAGCAAAGAAGAATTAGATCAGTTATATTTCAGTAGATGGCGCTATATGTATCGGTTTGTTATTGATATTTGAACAAAATTAATAAAAAAAATCAAAAGTGGCATACTTACGTTTTTATTTAGTTTATATTATAAAGATACCTATTCTAAGTAAAGAAAAATCAAATTTTACTGTGGCAGTGGTAGCCCAGCGGTAACGCGCTTGCTAGAGAAAACAAGTAACGTTGGCTCAAATCCTGGGTCTCGCACCTCTAATGTGTGTGATCACGTGCCAATAATTTACAACATGGTTACAACTTCTTAATGCAATGAAAGTAAACATTGTGAGG